ACTAAGGACTTTAAGAATTTTGCAGTTCCAATATAAATTTATTCCCTTGAAACAATAAATTGGTCATAATAATTATACAGATTTCACAAACTTACGTCTTTTAAACACAAAGTCATCATCTGGCGACATTTCTACACTTGGCTATGGCCCTTAAGTTTGGGGTAAAATAAGAAATTTAAAAAAAAACATTCGAAATGATAATCTAATAATTTTATACTTACTGTTTTATACTTACTGATACTAGCAGAAAATATTGTGAGTATACTGCACTTTTTCAAAGTGGTACGTTTCTCATGTCCAATAAAACAGTAGTATGTGAAAGGTTTAGAACAAAGATAATCATTCTGTTTCGGACGCCAATTCACAATTTTTGTGCTTTTTAGCCATAACTTTACTCTAGGTTCAGTTGGAAACCTGTTAGTTAATAAACATTTGATAATTATCTATTGTTGGCGACTTTGGTTGTGAATTAAAAATGTTGTGGGTAAAAAAGAACATCGATAAGTATAATAGACAAGCAACTCGACAATCTTATTGAATTTTATTGTTTATCAAAAGTCTGTAATATAAAGACAAACATGTTGGTAATTACGATATTAAGATTAGTAATAAATTTTTAAGTACCTATATTACGAAATAGTTTTAATTTGCTTAATATTAGCTGCAAATTCACTTAATTGTGGAATGGTATCCCACTTTTCTTTTGGTAACGGGTTTTACATATTACGCACTCTCTCATTATTACTAAAAATAATTCTTATTATGTAACTAAAATTAAACAATCAAATCTCATAAAATACTTTAATTTTTTAGTTTAAAAATTCAAAATATAGAGATATGATTTAAATAATACAACAGACTTTGGCATATTATAACAATTTTAGTTCCCGGTACGGACAATGAGGGCGCTTCAAATCGACATAAGCATTTTGTATGGCATAGCCAGTCCAACGTACTTGTATATATAGAGGTCAGTGCTTTTAACACAGCACTGTTCTTATTAATGTATTACACACACAATCCTGAAAAATTTATTACTTTTCCACATATATTACTGAAATTTTCACAAATAGATAAAGTTTATTTTTTTCTAGTACATTATTTAGATACTGTTTAAATCCCATACAACATGAACAACCAATCTGTACATGACCCCTATCAGTATAGTAGGAGGCCACAGGCCAGTGCTTTCTTTGTCTAAATTACAACTATCTCTATTCATTATGAGACATTATTTGTTTACATATGCTATTCTTATCTAGCCATTATGTATCTTATCTCTTATCATAAGAATAACGTATGTTTTTAACTAAAATAAGTATTCTAATTTAATACAATTTTTTTCCGTATTGCATAACGATAAACAAACTTTGTGGAATTAACTCTCGACCGGAAAAACTTGAACTTGAAACTTGAACAAACCCTGAACTTTCGTTTGTCAATTATATTGAATCTATTTGCTTTTAACATGGGTTACCTTATTATTTTATTTATTTATTTATTTCATAACATTACATTTATTAGTTACACATTACATTACGGTACAATCATAAGTTTATAGAAACTTTACCGTGTACCGATATCGCCGACAATAATGAATATGAGGGTAAAGTAAAAAATTACACTTATTATTTATTAAGTGCGTGATCTGCTAATGCAGGATGCAATGCTCATGGATTGTATATACAGGACGTTTGTTTTAAAGCGTTATCGTAATATTTATTGGTAATACATATTATGTATTACTTAAATTATTTATGATGCAATCTATAAAGTAGTTTTTTAATTTTAATTTAATATTTTTTTGAGTCAGTTTGAATTTTAAAGATCCTGGTAGCTGGTTAATTAGGTTAGGGATCATATATTCTAAAGTACGTTTACCATATAAATTATTATATTTAGGTAAGGCTAATTTAGGTTTTCCCGAACTGCGAGTTTTGGAGTAATCACGGGTAACGGCAATTTTTAACTGTTCATGAAAAAATTCTTCTACAAGAAGGGTAAACTTTACTTTTTCGTGTATCGGTATAATTTTGCAATGGCTAAAAAGGTTATGGTAATCTGATTCTTTATATTGGTTTTTAATATTATCCGGAACTATAGTTTTTAGAATACGCGACTGCAGTAAATAAATATGTTCTAAATGTGATTTGTACGTTCTGCCATAACTAGACAAGCCGTATGCTACTTTTGACTCCACCAGTGATTTATATAGCTGTATAAGAATTTTATATGGAATTTTATATTTAATTATGGGAAATTTTGCAAGCATACCACTAAGTTTATCACACACGTGCTCAATATGTTCTTTCCAATTTAGTCGACTATCTATGACGAGTCCTAAGTAGGCCTGTGATTCTACTAGGTCTATGGCTTCGCAGTTACATGTAGTTGGGACATGTCCTCTGTGTAGGCATTGGTGGTCATGCGCAATGAGCCTAGGTATAACCTTACTCCTATTTTGACTAGAGCTAATGTACATTAACTTAGTCTTAGCAGAATTAAAGACTAATCCTTTATCATGTGACCACTTCATAAGAATATTAAAATCGTCTTGTAGGAGGTTGAGAGTGTCGTTAATACTGCTCCCAGCCGCGACCAAACAAGTATCATCAGCATACTGATAAATTTCACATTGCTTGATAATATTAACCAAACTATTAACATAGGTAATGTAGTGTAAAGGTCCCATTACCGAGCCTTGTGCTGTGCCCGCAGATATATTTACTAAGTTGCTCATTGAATCTCCCACCTTTACCACATATTTTCTATCGGTCATTGGAATGCCTTATATAATTTTATAGCAAACATTTTAAATACGAATTTATTTATTTTTTATGACGTGAAAAATGACAAACTATTTTTTAAACGCGTCGCCAACAATTATCAATTATAATTGAAATACAGATGCACTGTCAGTCTTGATGATTAAGATGTAATGCCTTATTACCATTAAAAGGGGTCTTCCGTTCTCGTCAGTCACTATATGAAACACAATAGCATTATGTTCCTACGAGTATATTACGTTCATATTCTATGCGAGCATGGTTCTTTCCCGGTCGAATCGACCCGTAAGTGCTGCAGCCATATTATGCTGCAATACGGCTCTGCCATATGTTTTTTTTTTTATTAAACAATATAATATCTTTTCAACAGATATAGAAAAGCCTCTGTATGAACCTTCTTCTTGGAAGGTTTTCCAATACTCACCTCGTTGGGAAGCGATTTAATTAACCTCTATCAAATTAGGTTTAACATTTTTGGATAATCCACCATAAATCGTTTGCCAATTCGTTTGCCATTAAGTAAGAACATTCATAATCCCATTTCGTCCCGTGGGTGTCGTAAAACGCAACTATGGGAAATGTGAAATATCCATAATGATAAAGAAGTCGTTTGCCAGAGCCTCGTCAATCGGTCACTATTTTTAAGACTTGATATAGTAAACATATTTTAATCAAATATTTTGAATTTTGATATGTTTATGTGTCTTTATCAAGGCAAGTCTTTGATCTGAAGTAGCAATAAGACGATGTTATAGCGCGAAGAAACGACGAAAGAAAGGTCAAGTGGCATTAATTCCCTAGAGTTATGGCCAGATCAATGTTGGATGAACCCTCCACTAAACTCCACTAGTCGATTAGTTCAGTTGACTCAAGATCGTGCTTTTTGGAAATCTGTGGGAGACTGTATTTTCAGGAGGAGACTCAGGTGGAGAGATTTTCGTTTATTTAAGTAACTAATACTTCCACTTGACCGCATTCAGCGCAGAGCGGCTCGAATCATCGACGACCGAGTCCTTTCCGATCGGCTCGACTCATTGGTGCTGCGAAGAGATGTTGCATCTCTTTGCATTTTCTTTCGCATTTACCACGGGGAGTGCTCTGAGGAATTGTTCGGATTAATCCCAGCAGCCAAATTTCACGAACACACATCGCGGCAGAACTCCCGATACCATCCACGCCATCTGGATGATTGACGGTCCACCACTGTGTGATTTAGAAGATGTTTTCTTCCTCGCACAACTTCCTTTTGGAATCGATTACCATCAGCGTTTTTTTCGGACCGATACGACTTAGGGACCTTCAAGAAAAGAGCCTACTCCTTTTTAAAAGGCCGGCAACGCATCTGCAATTCCCCTGGTTCCCCTGGTGTTGCAGGTGTTCGTGGGCGGCAGTAGTCACTTATCATCAGGTGAGCCGCATGCTCGTTTGCCCTCTCTTCTTTAAACAAAATAACTAGTTTAATAGGTATAAAATGAAGATGATGTTGAATATACAATAATTAAACAAAAACTAGGAATTAATTTAAAAAATGACTTTTTTCTGTTCTTTTTTGTAGAAACACAAACCCGGAACTAATCAAAAACTTGCATGTCGAACTTTGCTTTTCTAACAAATCTACTCACTCATGTGGTTTAGGTTCGTTGTATTTGCTCTCTGATGAATTTCAATTATACAAGTTTCCATGTATCTATAATCTACATATATCACTGGAGAGCCTACAGTACTTGTTGTAATATACTATATAATAGAATAGAAGTTAGATACGTATAAGCATTAATTAAAGCGATGTTCACGACTTCCACCAATTATTCATTATGTGTTAAAATTAAGTTGCGAAAATTATTTCTGAATGTTACACGAAAGAATTGTATAGAGAATCAACGGTCTTTATACTTCCCAATTATTTTTTAATTTCGAGAGGGTAATGGAGCATGTCCATTATTCCCTAATGCGAAATTGGCGGATTTTACAATCTTTGAAAACATTATTCTCTTATACGACTTTCTCGTGTAAATCAAAACTTAAATCTCAGTTAAGAATTTTAATGATTTTAACGTCAGAGTTGCAAGCACAAATTGCTTATATACGTACTACTATGAAATTTCATTCAAGTGTTTTTTAACATCTCGCGAGACAGTAAAGTACCAAATTACTGTAAGACACCCTTTTAAAATCAGGTATAAAATAGAATACTATTTTTTCGTATTGTTGCAGATCCGGAGGTGCAGAATCAAATATCATGGTCAGAGCATTTAGATCCAATATTTGTAAACAACTACGAGATTGATCCTACGTTGTCATGGCAGTACTTCGCTTCGTCTACAGGTTTTATGAGGCGATATCCAGGTAAGACTGTCTCTAAATCTATAAACTTATGTTTATGTGTAAAGACATAAAGATAAAAATATATTCTCCGTGACGCAGTAGCTTAGCAATGAATTACGGCGCTGAGGTCTGTGGGTTCAAATCCCGCAAGAAACAAGTATTTGTATTGACCTATAAGTAATTGTACCTGGTCTGAAAGTTTGTATTGTGAAATTTATGTATCTAAACTGCCTCCACGATACAGAAAAAAATCCTAGCTTGTATTAAATTTTTTTTCTGAAGAAAAACAGAAAGGTATCACGGTGTCCGATTGATGACAATATAATCATTCCGTAAAATGCCAGATGTAATAAATGTGACATAAAATGCCATACTTGCAACAGGTAGCAGCGTTAATAGTGCAAAGCTTCTGATAATGTGATCGGCAATCCAGGCTTATTACGACTATTTCTAATGCGGTCAGTCTCTATAATATGTTCTGCGTCATCGAGTAGTCTTTAAACATCTAATAGCACAAATCTCTCCTTAACTCTGAAATGTGCAAGGTCAAGTAAGAACAGAAAAGAACCCACCACTAGACATAAACTCTTACGCCTGTTACCCAGAAGGGTAGGCAGAGACCGCGGACATCCATTTGACATGATCCTGACACACCACTCACCTTAAAGGTATCTTTGTGTGGAATCTACAAGGGCGCTAAACTGCCAAAATGATAAATACTTCTAACATACTCATTACAGATAGCTATCAAGTGACCATAGAACTTTAAAATATAATGTAGTATCTAACATTCTCATAATCAGGACACAATATTCATAGGTCATTTAGACATAACTTTTAGTTACTCTTCGTTCAAGTTGAACTGATAAACGAGCTAAAGAATCCCTTTCACGCCCTCATTTCAAAAATTGCGACGCTTTAGAAGGGGCATGTTAATTCACGCCAAGCGTGAACAAATACTGCCGCGAGTGCCCCGCTAGTGCAAACTGCACGGAACTATGAAGCCTCGCCCGGAGCTCTTCCTATTCCGTTCCTTTCTTCACAAGTTCTAAAATTTACTGCGATTTATAACTCAGACTTGTAACTTCCAGGAGACATGTCTTCGGATTCCATTGAGTATAAAAAAATGTTTTTTTTTTTATTTGTGCTCTTGATACTTAATATTTTAATTTTTGTTTATCTTACACTGCTAGGCAAAGATATTAAATTTCAGTACCTATTAAAAGTGTTTCTCCAATCTGTTGGTCAATTTACATGAATGAATTTCTAACGACGAAATATCATCAGTCAAACTCCATTATATTTCCCCGGCACATCAAATGTAAACTTATAAACGACGTCCATCGGACAACGCTTGACCTTGAAGGGTTTTAAGCGTAGAAGTAGAAAATACTTGTTACAGTGTATTTTTACGAAACCGAGTAATTCGCTTCAGTGGTGGTTGGTCTGAGAATAAGAGACATAATGATAAGTCGCTGTTCAAAGAATCAATGTAGCTACTATATCATCTTTAATATCGATGCAAAATTCTAGCCTTCGTTCTGTTAGACATATTTTATGCTTCAGACGCTTTTAATTTCTCATTCTTTTTTCTTTTAAATAAAGTTTCCTGCAGAGTTATCTTTTACAACAATTTGTTTGAGTCATTTAGATAGTGCTTACAAGTGAAATGAAACACCGTTGAATTTAAATTTTATACTTGAAGTTTTAACACGTTACAACACAATTAGATTTTATCTTCAAACTAAACTATTGTTTTAATTGAGACGATAATAGATTGAAAGCAGGCTTAGACGCAGGCAAATAAGATGAAAATTTTCTACTATGATGACATAGCCTTCAACATCTTTCTCCTAAATAAAATCATATTAAATATTTACTAACAATTAATATAATTTATTATCCTTAGCTATGTCCTGGCCACCCGAAGACGGATATTCACACCACGCCCGAGATTTTTACGACTTCAGGTCATCTAACTGGTTCGTTGAAGCAGCCACTTCGCCCAAAGACCTGGTGATTCTAATGGACGACTCTGACGATCTCGGCTCTTCATATCGAAGGCTCGCTAAAGCTACAGTGTCAGCGTTACTCGACACGCTTGGCCCGAACGATTTCGTCAACGTCTACCGGTACAGCGACACGGTGTCCGAAATCCACCCTTGTTACACCAAGATTTTGGCTCAGGTATGTACATATATAAGTTGTAATTTCTATTCACACATCATTGCATCCCGATCTTGCGAGGCGTAAAACCCAACTAACTTTTATAATAGCATTACGGCTCTCAACTAATAGTTCAATTAAAATTTTTAGACAAATTTTATTTAAATTTTTTCACATAAAACAGCAATTTATAGGTAAATCTATACATATAATAAAAATGTAAATAGTAGATGTCTGTACATTTTATATTTTTGTAATAAAATTGATTGAGAGGTACTAAAAATAAATAATCAAATACATTTCTACCATTTTTAGATTTTTCTGTCTGTCTGTCTGTCTGTCTGTCTGTCTGTTTGTTTGTTAACGTATCACGTATAAAGTACTAATTTATATTATAAGAATAGTTAAGGAAATTATTAAGTGTATATTCAGGTTACATTTAGTCTTTATTTCATTAAAATTGGTTAATTCCGTCAAAAGTTATGACAAATATTCTGAAGTATGGGTACTAAGTATAGGTACGAATTTGTTCAATAGTGGTGTTAGATGAGTCATCAAGTACATTTTAAAATTAATATCATATTATAAATGATAATTAAATGATGTAAAATAATGTTCTATAATGATATAATTATATCTAAAAGGCAGTAAACAAAAGTATTACATAAAGAACGTAATAAATATATACAAAATATATTAACCTTATTATCTAAACTAAATTAAAGTACAATAGTTAACCAATTTCATCGATAGATGGTGGTGTGGCACAAATGTGATATCAAGTTCATTTAATCTTTGTTTTATTGAAATTGGTTAATTCTATCGAAAGTTATGATTATTATTTTGAAATGTACTTGACTTTAATGTATCGTTCTATTATAGTACTTAAAACACAGTAAAAAACATGTTTTCCTTAAATTAAAAAAGGATGTTTTCTCACAAAGAACGTTATAGATGGCGTTGTACAAATTACAACCTTTTCTGAATTGCGGTGTTAAGATTTTTCGCAGGTGAATCGTATTGAGACTCACTGAAATAATTTATTTCCATGAGTCTGACGAAGTTGCAAGCCTGTATGGTATATATACAGTTATCTATGCCTGCCTGTAAGTCTTGTAGACTAACAACTCATAACAAAAAACTCCAGAAACAAAAACCAGAAAAAAGAGATATTGAAATATTCAATTATTCAACAAAATTACAAAACTCGACTAAACAATAAAAGTAGCAAAATTGCAATAAATGTCGTGATAGTGATATTGTTTTATACCCAGAATCCCTCTAATACCAAATAACTTTCCTTTCAGTTTTAAGTAAAGTAAAGTAAAGTTGCAGCCTATTTACGGCCCACTTTTTTTTTTTTTTTTTTTTTTATAGAATAGGGGGCAAACGAGCATGCGGCTCACCTGATGTTAAGTGACTACCGCCGCCCATGAACAACCGCAACACCAGTGGAATTGCAGATGCGTTGCCGGCCTTTTAGAAAGGTGTAAGCTCTTTTCTTGAAGGTTCCTAAGTCGTATCGGTTCGGAAAATTCGCTGGTGGTAATTGATTCCACAAAGAAGTTGTGCGAGGGAGAAAACTTCTTCTAAATCGCACAGTGGTGGACCGCCAATCATCCAGATGGTATGGATGGTAACGCGAGTTTTGTCGCGACGTGCGATGGTGAAATTGAGCGGCTGGAATTAGTCCGAACAATTCCTCAGAGCACTCCCCGTGATAGATGCGATAAAATACGCAAAGAGATGCAACATCTCTACGCAGTGCCAGTGTATCGAGCCGATCGGAAAGAACTCGGTCGTCGACGATTCGAATCGCTCTGCGCTGGATGCGGTCAAGTGGAAGGAGCTGGCACTGGGGTGCCCCGGCCCAGAGATGAGAACAGTATTCCATGTGGGGCCGAACTTGCGCTTTGTAAAGTTGCAAGCGATGTGCCGGCATGAAATACTGTCTCGCTCTGCTGAGCACGCCAAGCTTTTTAGAGGCCAATTTGGCCTTCCCTTCCAAGTGACCACGAAACTGCACGCTATTCGATATGTCGACGCCAAGGATTCCGATACTGGCTGAGGCAGCAAGGGGAGTGCCTTGAAACTGAGGAGATACGACAAAGGGGTTCTTTTTAGCGGTAAACGCGCAAACTTGTGTCTTCTGGGGATTGAACTGGACTAGATTTAGTCGGCCCCAATCCGAGACTTTGTTAAGCAAAGACTCGACTTCAGACACAAGTTTGTCCCGGTACTCGGCGACGTTTTCCCGAGAAATATTGGCACGGCCGGTATATAAGGCATCCCCAGTGCTGTCGTCTGCATAGCAATGAATGCTACCAGTTAGCAGCATATCATTGATATGCAGGAGAAACAGCGTTGGTGATAGCACGCAGCCTTGTGGAACACCAGCGTTGATAGGCTTGTAATCAGAGCATGCACCGTCTACTACGACCTTGATGCTCCGATCAGCAAGGAAACTGGTGATCCATTTGCACAATTTCTCGGGAAGCCCATAGGAAGGAAGCTTCGAAAGAAGCGCCTTGTGCCAGACCCGATCGAAGGCCTTCGCTATGTCCAAACTAACGGCCAATGCCTCCCCCTTGGACTCTACTGCCTCCGCCCATCTATGAGTTAAGTAAACTAAAAGATCACCTGCTGATCGACCCCGACGAAAACCGTACTGACGGTCACTGATCAGCTGGTGATCCTCAAGGTACCTCATGAGCTGGCAGTTTATAATGGATTCCATTATTTTGGAGAACAAGGAGGTGATGGCGATAGGCCTGTAGTTGGACGGGTCTGAGCGGTCGCCTTTTTTAGGGATCGGGTGGACCAAAGCTGTCTTCCATGAATTCGGGACTACGCCTTGGGAGTAGGAGTACCGGAAAAGACGCGTTAAAACCGGTGCCAACTCCGGAGCACACGTCTTCAGCACAATGGGAGGGACTCCATCGGGCCCACTCGACTTGCTGACGTCCAGGGAGAAGAGTGCTTTGCGAACCGAGCGCTGTGTAAATCGCACATCCGGCATGGAGCACTCACATCGCGGGATGGTCGGCGGTGTGTTCCCCCCGTCATCTAGAGTCGAGTTGGATGCAAAAAGAGAGCACAACAGATCGGCTTTCTCTTTTGCGGCATGGGCCAGTGAGTCGTCCTCTCTGTGCAGAGATGGGAGGGATGGCTGACAGAAGTTCCCTTGGACAGCCTTGGCGAGAGACCAGAATGCACGGGTTCCCGAAGGAAGGCGAACTAGCTTCTCGCCAATTCTGCCGATGTGCTCAGACCTTGCCTTGGCAATGACGCTTTTGAAGGACCTGGAGGCGGAATTATACTTCTTTTTAAGTGCGCTGGTGTTTAAATCCCGAGACGTTGATGCGTCAGCCCAGGCCCGGTAGCACTCCTGCTTATAGCGTGATGCTATTTTACAGGAGCGACCAAACCATGGCTGGGATCTGCCTCCGATGGGCACCACAGAGGATGGAATAAAAAGTTCCATACCCTGAAGTACCACATCAGCAACAGAATCGGCAACAACGCTGGGATCTTCCGGCGAGAAGCAAACCCGCCCCCAAGGGTAGGATGCAAAAAAAGACCGCATCCCGTCCCAATCAGCTGACCTATAGTGCCAAACACGGCGGCAAGCTGTAGATCGCAACTGCGATTGGAGCGTGAGTGGCACTGTGCTCCGGATCAGACAATGGTCCGAAGAGCCCAGAGGGGCATCGACGGAGACCTGATATCCGTCCGGATGAGAGGTCAGCAGAAGGTCCAACAGGGAAGGTACATGGTCTTCCACATCTGGGATCCGCGTAGGCGAAGTAACCAGTTGTGTTAGACCATATGCCAAAGCAAAGTCGTAGACAGATCTACCCGCATGATCGGTTGAACGAGAACCAAGCCATTCAGCGTGGTGGGCGTTGAAATCACCGAGTATCACGATCTCTGCGGATGGGACCTGTTGTAGCACGGAGTCTGCAGCCATTTGGACGTGTTCGATGAGTCGGTCTGTGTCGGCATTACCGCTATGGGACCTATAGAGGCACCCGTAGACGCGGGGATGGTCGTCGCTGTCTACGCGCAGCCATAGGATGGACAGGTCCGTACCTTCAAGGCTGCCGAGGCGTCGAAAACAGATGTCCTCTCTGACGTATACACAAACTCCAGCCCGGGGCACAAAGGAGTGTTCCAATTTGTACCCCGGGTAGGAGAGATATGAAGTATCAGCTGGAGAGGACACCTGAGTCTCGGTTAAAAAGAGCAAGGCCGGCTTCGCCGTCTCTAGATGGTAATGGACAGCGTTAAGGTTGGAATGAAGTCCCCTGATGTTGCAAAAATTCACGGATAGCGTGACAGGGGTCGCCTTGGTTGTATTGCTCCGCTTGCCCCGAGCAGCATTAGTCACGAGCGGAATTTTGCCCCCCCCAGAATACGCGGGGCAGCCTGAGCACCCACGCTCAGGAGTGAAGTAGTTTGTTCGTGGATGCTCAGCGAGGGATTCTCCAGGGTTGCTGGTACCCTCCTGGGGTAGTCTTGTATTTAATTCCACTACCATGTTGATGGGGGGGGGGGGAATTGGGCCTCCGGCCACCTGCACTCACCAAACGCAACGCAGAGGTAAACCTCTACTTCACGCTGGTATTCTGTGAGGTCGTGGTACCACCCTGGTTCGAGCTGGCCCATCCGTGCGACAGCAAAAGCTACCGCTTGGCTCTACCACTGCTGGGCACAGGCCTCCTCTCATTTCTGAGAGGGTTTTAGGGCAAGGAAATGTCCACCGCGCTGCCCCAATACGTGATGGCGAACATGCAGGTTTCCTCACGATGTTTTCCTTCACCGCCGAGCACGTGGTAAATCAGCACTTAAAATTGCAATTAACAATTTCATTGGTGCCGGCGGGGATCGAACCCGGGTTGCTCGAGTACTGTGAAGCTTACAGCGAGCGCTAACCATCTGAGCTACCACGGCTCAGGCTTCAGTTTTAAGATAGGGATAATAACATCGATGATGACATCGATGTTGGCATCGACAGCTCA